GAATTTTGTGGTGCTACAACGTTATTTCGTGTGCAACGCTAGCAAAACTCCTGGTTGCTGATAGCTCCGAGATCTTCCTCGGAGCGCTGCAGGAGCGGCAGACGTAGGTTCGTGCGGGACCGAACTTCCGTAATCATATCGTTTGTTTGTTTACTGATTGCATTGCGCACTTACTTTTTTATATCCTTATATCGCCCATTTGTATATTGCTTGTTGATTATTATTGCCCCACTATCTAGTTTTACGATGCTTTTACCATTGTGATCAATTATACTATCCTTGCTTACTATCTCATAGTAATATCTCGTCTGCCTAGGATAATTAGCTCTTCTGTTCACTATTGCTTATTCTTGCTTGCTAATATATGTATATTCTCTCTGCAAGAATAATCTTCCTGCTTATTAATTTTAAATTGGCATACAAATCTGGCATTAGATTAGGCCATTAAGACCCTAATCACCCCCCCCCCCCCCCCCCCCCCCCGCTCGGAATCTTCTAGGTCCTAAAACTACTACTTGCCCTGCTTTCTCTAGGCCACCAAGCCCGAAATCCCTACGCGCATCGAATAGCCACGGTTATATAAATAGCTTGCAGCTTAGGCGAAATTAATTGCGGCCGCATACCATCCGCCCATCGCACCCCAAACGAGTTGCGGACAAGTTAGCGCTGGGTTATGTGGGTAGGCCCGCCACTTCCCGTTTCACAATAGAGCTGACCCTCGTCGAAGGGAACCTAAACCTATTCACAAACTCACCACAAATTAGCCGACTATCACATTTTTTTTTACGTGGCTTACGCGCGAAATAGCCTTACGTCAACGGGTCAAGGAGGGGGGAGATCTACTATTAGGAGGAGAGATACAACTTTACAGTGTGTCAACATCAGTACACTCCGACCCTCAAAACAAAACTCTCAAAGTCATTCATTACAAAAACTCTCTCAATAAGGATGCCACAAAACCCAAAAAAATACGGCCTCTGTTCTTTCTTTTGCACAGCCGCAACGGAGTTTCTCAGCAGTCCTCTCATCTTTT